AAGAGACCCACTTCACAACAAAAGACTCACATAAGTTGAAAGTGAAGGGATGGAAAATAATCTTCCAAGCAAATGGAAAGCAAAAAAAAGCTGGGGTAGCAATACGCATATCTGATAAAATAGTTTCCAAATGAAGGCCATAACTACAGACAAAGAAGGCCACTACATATTATTGAAAGGATCTATCCAACAGGAAGATATAACCTTGATAAACATATATGCACCCAATATAGGAGCACCAAAATATATTAAAAATCTTCTGGAGGACTTCCAAGGAGAAATCGACAGCAATACAATCATAGCAGGGGACTTCAATATCCCACTGACATCACTGGATAGATCCTCTTGACAAAAAATTAGCAAGGAAACAGAGACTGTAAATGAAGCACTAGACCAAATGGATTTAATAGATATCTATAGAGAATTGCACCCCAAAATTACAAAATACACATTCTTCTCAAGTACACATGGGACATTCTCAAAGATAGACCACATGATAGGACACAAACTAAACCTCTACAAGTTCAAGAAGATTGAAATCATATCAAGCATCTTCTCAGATCACAATGGCATGAAACTAGAAATCAATTGCAACAAGAACATGCAAAAACATTTCAACATAGAGGCTAAATAGCATGCTATTAAACAATGAATGGGTTACCAAGGAGATCAAGGAAGAAATTAAAAACTTCCTGGAAACCAGCGAAAATTAACACACAACAACACAAAATCTATGGGATGCAGCGAAAGCAGTTCTGACAGGGAAGTTCATAGCACTACAGGCCTACCTCAAGAAACAAGAAAAATTTCTAACTGACTGTCTAACCTCACAACTTAAAGAATTAGAAAGCAAACAAAAAGAAAACTCCAGAGCAAGTAGAAGGAAGGAAATAGTAAAGATCAGAGCAGAAATAAATGACATAGAGACCAAAAAAAACAATTAAAAGGATCAATGAAACAAAGAGCTGGTTTTTCGAAAAGATAAACAAGATTGATGGACCCTTAGCTAGACTCACCAAGAAACAACAAGCGAGAAACCAAATACACAAAATCAGAAATGAAAAAGGAGAAGTAACAACCGACACCACAGAAATACAAAAGATTGTCAACAGCTACTATGAACAACTATATGGAAACAATTCAACAATCTAAGCAAAATAGACAAATTTCAAGAAACACACAGTCTCCCAAAACTGTACAGGGAAGAGATAGAAAACTTGAACAGACCAATAACAACTGAGGAAACCCAGCAAACAAAAGCCCAGGCCCAGATGGCTTCACGGGGCAGTTTTACCGAACATTCAAAAAAGAACTAACACCCATTCTCCACAAACTATTTCAAAAAATTCAAGAAGAAGGAAGACTTCCAAACACATTCTATGAGGCCAGCATAATTCTAATTCCAAAACCAGAAAAAGACACTACAAAGAAAGAAAACTACAGGCCAATATCCCTGATAAAAATAGACGCCAAAATCCTGAGCAAAATACTAGCAAATCGGATCCAGCAATACATTATTCACCATGGCCAAGTGTGATTCATTCCAGGGATGCAAGGCTGGTACAATATTCACAAATCAATAAATGTGACACACCACATAAACAAAAGGAAGAATAAAAACCACATGATCATATCAATAGATGCTGAAAAAGCATTCGACAAAATCCAGCATCCATTTCTGAAAAAAACGCTCAGCAGTGTGGGAATAGAGGGATCATATCTCGACATAATAAAGGCCATATATGAAAGACCTACAGCCAACATCATACTCAATGGACAGAAACTAAAAACATTTCCATTAAGAACAGGAACAAGACAGGGATGTACACTTTTGCCACTCCTATTTAACATAGTACTGGAAGTCTTAGCCACAGCAATCAGACATGAGGAAAAAATAAAAGAGATCCAAATTGGAAAGGAGGAAGTGAAACTGTCATTATTCGCAGATGACATGATATTATACATAGAAAACCCTAAAGACTCCATCAAATATCTACTAGACTTAATAAATGAATTTGGAAAAGTAGCAGGATACAAAATTAAAGTCAAGAAATCGACAGCATTCTTATACACCAATGATGAACTCACAGAAAGAGAAACCAAAAAAAACAATCCCATTTACCATCGCGGAAAAAATTAAGATATCTAGGAATAAATTTAACCAAAGAAGTAAAGGACCTATTTGCAGAAAACTACAGGACATTGAAAAAAGAAATAGAGGAAGATATAAAAAAGTGGAAGCACATACCTTGTTCATGGATTGGAAGAATTAAAATCATTAAAATGTGCATACTACCCAAAGCAATCTATAGATTCAATGCAATCCCCATCAAAATACCAATGACATATTTCACAGAACTAGAACAAATACTTGAAAAGTTCATATGGAACCAAAAAAGACCCCGAATAGCCACAGCAATTTTGAGAAAGAAGGACAAAGTAGGTGGGATCACAATACCAGGTATCAGGTTATACTACAAAGCCACTGTAATCAAAACAGCCTGGTATTGGCACAAGAACAGGCATATAGACCAGTGGAACAGAACTGAAAACCCAGAAATGGACCTAAGGCAATATGCTCAATTAATATTTGACAAAGGTGGCAAGAGCATACAGTGGAGTAAAGACAGCCTCTTTAATAAATGGTGTTGGGAAAATTGGACAGCTACATGCAAAAAAAATGAAACTAGACCATCAACTTACACCATACACAAAAATAAACTCAAAATGGATAAAAGACTTAAATGTGACCCGTGAATCCATAAAAATTCTAGAAGAAAATGTAGGCAACAAAATTTCGGACATCATACGGAGCAGAAGTTTCACTGATACATCACCTAAGGCAACAGAAACAAAGTAAAAAAATGAACACTTGGGACTACATCAAACTAAAAGGCTTCTGCACAGCAAAAGAAACAATCATCAAAATGGAAAGGCAACCCACTGTATGGAAGAACATCATTGTCAATGATATATCAGATAAGGGGTTAATTTCCAATATATATAGAGTACTCATACAACTCAACAAAAGGAAGACAACGAACCCAATTAAAAAATGGGCAGAGGAGCTGAATAGACACCTCTCCAAACAGGACAAATGGCCAAGAGACATATGAAGACATGCTCAACATCACTAATCATCAGAGAGATGCAAATTAAAACAACAATGAGGTATCACCTCACACCTGTCAGAATGGCCGCCATCAACAAATCATCAAACAACAAGTGTTGGCGAGGGTGTGGAGAAAGGGGGACTCTAATACACCGCTGGTGGGAATGCAGACAGGTGCAGCCGCTATGGAAAACAATATGGTGCTACCTCAAAAAATTAAAAATTGAATTTCCATTTGACCCAGTGATCCCACTTCTAGGAATATACCCTAAGAAGCCTGAAACACCAATCAAATGAATATATGTACCCCCATGTTCATAGCAGCACTATTTACAATAGCTAAGATCTGGAAACAGCCCAAGTGTCCATCAGTAGAAGAATGTAAAAAAAGCAGTAGTACATATACACAATGGAGTACTATGCAGCTGTAAGAAAGAAAGATCTCTTACCCTTTGGGATGACATGGAGGGACCTGGAATGTATTATCCTAAGTGAAATAAGCCAAGCAGAAAAAGACAAATACCACATGATCTCACTTATATACGGAATATAATGAACATAACAGTCCGAGGAATACGGTAGACCCAGAAACATGGAAGTAGGGCACAGACTAACATCTATCAGAAGAGGAGGTGGGGGGTGAGGGGTGGGAAGTGATAAACCACAGAACTTATATGCATGTATACATAACCAATAGACATGGACAACAAAGCCGGGGACAGGACGGGTGTGGGGTGGGGAGAGGGGTGTCAAGGGGGTAAAAAAGGAGAAACATCTGTAACAAAAAAATAAATAAAAAATTTTAAAAAAAACCCACAAACAAACAAAAATAAATAAATAACATTTAGCCTGGCAGGTGTGACTCATTTGGTTGAGTGTCATCCATGCACCAGGAGGTCGCAGGTTCAATTCCCAGTCAAGGCACATGCCCAAGTTTTGGACTCAATCCCCAATAGGGGACATCCAGGAGGCAGCCAATCAATGTTTCTCATCAATGTTTCGATCTTTCTCTCCCTCTCCTTTCATCTCTCTTTAAAAAAAAAATCAAAGTATTTTTTAAAGAAGAAATAACATTAAATTTTTAATAAGTCACACAAAACCTACAGTTTAAATGTTCTTACCCAAGTAAAATAACCCATTTAAGATGATATACAAATATTTACATAATGCTTATCATTTTCAAAAAGCATTAATCAGTGACTTTCAGAATCATTGCATAAATCCTAAGAAAGACCATATTTTACAGTGACTCTTTTTCTTACACCAAAATCTTTATGACCCGTCTCGGTGACACTCTAGTCTCTAGACATGGCTGTAAACACTTTTCAACTCTTTTTAAAAATAAAATCTACCCTCAAAGAATAAAGAAGTGTTCCCACTGAGGATATTCAAAAGAACTCATCACAGTACTTAGAGTCACCAATACATGAGAGATTATAAAATGTACTCTGAAGAATAAGAACATGACAACCCAATCTGAACTTCAGGGAAGTCTATGTATCACATGGATTCAAGCAAGTGAGGGCCGTATGTAAACTGTAAAGTGTGTGTGTGATAAAAAAGCTTTATTGATTGTTAAGGGATGATATTTCTTTTTCACAATAACAAGCAGTACCATAGTTCTCTCTCAGAATTTCACCGCCAGAGCCACAGGAAAAACCACATCTTACTGGGGAGGGGAAGCTTTATTCTGCCGAGGGTCACTGGGAATTTATAACATCATTCGAGGGCCACACAAAATTATCAGTGGCTATATTTGGTCAGGCTAATTTGCTAAGGCACGTGATATGAGCTGGTATTGATTTTTCGGGCCAAAAGGAAAAGCTTCCTAGAAGTTAGAACTGCATTCACATTAAAGAAAAGACCAAGTTTATTGAGTTTTACTCACATCAACAAGTTGGGTGACTCCACTTGCTGTTTTCGCCAGTGTGACGAGGTCTTCTTGCATCTTATCCACCCATGACTTGATACTACAGAAATTAGAGAGGAAAATGTTCTATCATCTCTCTGGAAAATTAAGGCCACAGACAGTCATTTTACATTAATTCTGTAGATAATTCATTAAATTGCTTTTAAATCTTTCTTCTCCCTCCTAGCTCTCATTATGCCCACCCTCCTATCCCACCTACGAATTATGAAGTCAATGAAACGTTGGTGTAAAACCTCTTAGAATGCTGAAATAGTCCCAGATCAAAGACAGAAAACTGACATGACTGTCTTGTCCAATATGAGGGTAAAATTTGCTTAATTTTTATGAAAATTCCATTTAAAACTAGTAAAGAGAATATTCTAAACTAAACTTTATTCTTTAGCTTGCAAGTGTTCTGAATATAACACTAAGGATGTGCTCAATGTAGAACGTTTTTAAAAATGTAAGAAAATAAAAAATATTTTAAATGTCTCCTAATTTCATTAACCAGGGATAACCACTCTTAACATTTAATGTATTCCCATTTAGCCTTTTAAACTTATTTCATGTGGTTGAAAGCATGTTATGTAAAATTTATGTATCTTTTCTTTTCCTAGGGTCATATGATAAATACTCCCATACCATTACAAGTATCTTAAAAACTTTTATTTTAATGGCCACTTAATATTCCATTATCTATACACCCCCATAATATGTGTGACCATCCTTCTGTTTTACAAAAGATATTTATAATATCATCAGCCTCTAACCACTATAAATTATACTGCAACAAATATCTTAGTGCATGAAGCTTACAAGTACTTCATTTTCTTAGCTAGACTCTTAGATTTGGAATTACTAGATCGAAGTTTAAGTTCTGAAGGATAGTTTTGAGCATTAAAATTATGATTGAAGAATTTAATTTAAAATCCTTTTCAGGTATGCACTTTAGATTAATGCAACAAAGATCTTAAAATACAAGCAATGGATGTTGGGACATTTTAGAAAAACCTAAGTCAGTGGTCTGTCTTACTTTTTCCTGCTATTAGAGACATTACCAAATACTACACAATTTTCCCCATTTATATCAATATTATGTAATTTGTAATTTCTTCATACATTTCATTTATTCTTCCTCATGTGGTCAAAGACCTAAAGTGTTTATTCTTTTCTGCTCATGCAAATATAAGAAAATACTGGTAAGAATGATAGATGATTTATGTTTGAATTTGAAATTCTCTCTACATATATATCATATGTGCATCTATCTGTTGTTTATCCTACTTCTTTAAATTTTAATAGTACTAAATGTTTTATAAAGGAACAGGTATTTGTATTTCATAACTGCTTGTACCATGGAGATTTAACTGTATTGATCTTCTTTTCCTTTCATAGATAAGAGTTTCAATAATACCATAAGGCTGCCAACGTTTTTCAGATAAATTTAAATGTAACAGAATAAAAAATTAAATGTGGAAAGAAGTATAACATGCAAGAGAGATTTAAATGAGGTACAGGAGAACACAGAAAAGAATAATGATCTGATAAACTAAAGGGGAAGAAGCAAACACTGAAAGTCAGTCATCAAAGACCTAAATGCTTTAGAGGAAACACAGAGGCTTGATTTACACATGAAACAAACTGGTTAGTGAATGAAATGCATAAAAGCTAGGGGTACTTTTACACAAATGAAAATAAGAAAGAATACTTATTGAACCATGCTATATAAAGGTGATAAAAAGAAGAAAAATTAACATCATGAAACAAATATAAATAAATAGGAGCATAAATTAAATAAATAAAAATAGAAACAAAGAGAGACATGTATAGACTCATTAAAATGAAGGACGTATACCACATTATTCTAATATTAGACTTTGTGCTGCTTATGAGCTGGTACATATATTTGAAACATATTATCAGTATTAACTAATATTCTTATTACCACTATTAGGTAAATATAATTGTTCCCCATTTTTACATTTAAAAAAATAAATTACAATAGAAAACAGGTAAGGGCAAAAACCACTGGCACCATTTTCTAATTCAGACCAAAATACCTCATTTCTCCAAGCTGTTACTGAACAAATCCTAAAACTCAAGGAAATGAACCATCTCTGCTCATATATAATTCCCAAAACTGACAGATAATAATGTTATATAGCTTATATCTCCCTTTAACTAGCAAACTGACCAACAATAAGTATATATGTAAAACCATTAACTTAACTCATGCCTGAATTTGGATTTCTGCTAAAATGATCCAAAACTTGCATTATGACTTCACGCTTCAGTGCGCTGTCACCCCCAGTTTCCACTGAGGTGAACTGTTTTGGCTGAAAAGCAATTCAGGACCCTTCTAGTCTTCTCTGTCCCACTGACAAGCTATCAAGAACACTTTACAGGAACAAGGATTATTCTTCATAGATATGACATGTTACCTGGTTTTCTAAAACACATAAGCACTCTGCCTTCCACACCAGGAATTAGAATAATATAATGGCTAGGAAATAAGCAAAGATCCCATTCATCACAAAAGTGAAAAATTAAGCAAGGGAAAATACTCATATGTGTAAATTCTTTATCACTCTTTCCCTTTGTAGGTAAATTGTCTAGCACATTTTAATAATCACTAAGCACCATTTCATTGAATGTCTCCAGAATATACTATAATATTTTGGAGAGTTGCAAAGGATATAGCCTTTTCTTTTCTTTCTTTTTTATATTTTTATTTTATTTGTTTAAACTTTTATTTTATTTTTAAATTTATTTATTTATTTTTGTTACAGATGTTACTCCTTTTCCCCCCACTGATTCCTCCCTCCCCACCCTTTCCCCAGCTCTGTTCTCCATGTCCATTGTTCATGCATACATGCATATATGTTCTATGGTTTGTTTCTCCCCTCCACCATCCCCTCTTCTCAGGATTGTCAGTCTGTACCCCACTTCAACATCTCTGGGACTACCCCATTCCTCAGACTGATATGTTCATTATATTCCACAAATAAGTGAGATCATATGATACTTGTCTTTCTCTGTTTGGCTTGTTGCTCTTAGGATAATACTTTCCAGGTCCCTCCATGTCATCTCAAAGGATAAGAGATCTTTCTTTCTTACAGCTGCATAGTACTCCATGGTGTATATGTACCACTGCTTTTTTATCCATTTGTCTACTGATGGACACTTGGGCTGTTTCCAGATCTTAGCTATTGTAAATAGTGCTGCTACGAACATAGGGGTACATATATTCTTTCTGATTGGTGTTTCAGGCTTCTTAGGGTATATGCCTACAAGTGGAATCACTGGGTAAAATGGAAGTTCAATTTTTTGAGGTAACACCATATTGTTTTCCATAGTGGTTGCACCAGTCTGCATTCCCACCAGCAGTGTACTAGAGTCTCCTTCTCTCCACACCCTCGCCAACACTTACTGTTTGATGATTTGTTGATGGCGGCCATTCTGACAGATGTGAGGTAATACCTCATTGTTGTTTTAATTTGCATCTCTCTGATGATTAGTGATGTTGACAATTTCTTCATATGTCTCTTGGCCATTTGTATGTCCTGTTTGGAAAGGTGTCTATTTAGTTCCTCTGCCCACTTTTTAATTGGGTTCTTTGTCTTCCTTTTGTTTAGTTGTATGAGCACTCCATATATTTTGGAAATCAACCCCTTATCTGATGTATCGTTGTCAACTATGCTCGCCCATACAGTGGGTTGCCTTTGCATTTTCGTGGTTGTTTCTTTTGCTGTGCAGAAGCTTTTGAGTTTGATGTAGTCCCATGTGTTCATTTCCTACTTTGTTTCTCTCACCTTAGGTGATATATCAGTGAAAATTCCGCTGCATACGATGTCTGAAATTTTGTTTCCTACAGTTTCTTCTAGGATTTTTATGGATTCAGGAGTCACATTTAAGTCTTTTATCCATTTTGAGTTTATTCTTCTGTATGGTATAAGTTGATGGTCTAGTTTCATCTTTTTGCATGTAGCTGTCCAATTTTCCCATCACCATTTATTAAAGAGGCTGTCTTTACTCCACTGTATGCTCTTGCCACCTCTGTTAAATATTAATTAGGCATATTGCCTTGGGTCCATTTCTGGGTTCTCTATTCTGTTCCATTGATCTATCTGCTCTTCTTGTGCCAGTACCAGGCTGTTTTGATTACAGTGGCTTTGTAGTATAACCTGAAATCTAATCTAGTAATGTGACCCCTCCAACTTTGTTCTTCTTTTTCAGATTGCGGTGGCTATTCGGGGTCTTTTTTGGTTCCATATGAACTTTTCAAGTATTTGTTCTAGTTCTGTGAAGTATGTCGTTGGTATTTGGATGGGGATTGCACTGAATCTATAGATTGCTTTGGGTAGTATGGACATTTTAATGATGTTGATTCTTCCAATCTATGAACAAGGTATGTGCTTCCACTTTTTTATATCTTCCTCTATTTCTTTTTTCAATGACCTGTAGTTTTCTGCAAATAGGTCCTTTATTTCTTCGGTTAAGTTTATTCCTGGGTGTCTTAATTTTTTTGCTGCGATGGTAAATGGATTTTTTTTTTTTTTTTTTGGTTTCTTGTTCTGTGAGTTCATCATTGGTGTATAAGAATGCCATCAATTTCTTGATGTTAATTTTGTATCCTGCTACTTTGCCAAATTCATTTATTTAGTCTAGTAAATTTTTGGTGAAGTCTTTGGGGTTTTCTACGTATAGTATCATGTCATCTGCGAATAATGACAGTTTCACTTCCTCCTTTCCAATTTGGATCCCTTTTATTTTTTCTTCCTGTCTAATAGCTGTGGCTAAGACTTCCAGTACTATGGCAAATAAGAGTGGCGAAAGTGGGCATCCTTGCCTTGTTCCTGTTCCTAAGGGAAATGCTTTTAGTTTTTGCCCATTGAGTATGATGTTGGCTGTATAGGTCTTTCATATATGGCCTTTATTATGTCTAGATATGATCCCTCTATTCCCACTTTGCTGAGCGTTTTTATTAGAAATGGTTGCTGGATATTGTCGAATGCTTTTTCAGCATCTATTGATATGTCTTCCTTCTACTTTAATTTTTTG